GTGGGGTAACAATAATCATATGTGGCAGTGATAATATGATACTTCATTCGAGTGAAAATTGGAGATGTGCGATCACAACTTCTACATCAACTAGGGGAATAATCTCAAATCTAAAACAGGTTTAAATTCGTAGTAAGTTCACCTTTTAGTATGGAATTTGAATCCCTATTCATGAACGTAATTGTGATTTAATCTTAATTTTTGTGGAGCTTTGCACCAATTGACAGTAAATTATGAGAATGACAACTTAAGAGGGGATTATGGTATTTTTTAGTGTAGATTCAAAGAGGTTCTCATTTATAAGAGTGATGCTATTTTAGTAGAGGATAAAGAGAAGGAGATGACATATTGTGAGTGTTGAGCATTTAAATGTTTTGGGTCTTTCACATAATTAATTTCAAATTTATTGGGAGTAATCACTATTGTTTTGTTCATCTTAAAAGGGTGGGTGTTGGATCATAGTTTTGTAAAAAGCAAAATTTAATTTGGGAATTCCTAATTACAAATGTATAAAAATACAATTTTAAAAATATTAAAATAGTGAAAAAAATTTCAAAAATTAGATGGTCACATTTTTTGACATCGGGTAAAATGTTGAAATCTATAATTTAATAAACAGGTCACGACCTCATTAACACACTACCGCGACATACTAATCACAAATCATATAATATTAGAGTTGCAAAGACACTTTTTTGTGATCACAAATTACGTTTTATTCACCAATATCATTTCACCTCACCCAAGTCCACCACCTTTGGCAATACCTCAAATTCCCCTCACCTCTATGGTCAACACACCACCACCACCACCACCTTCACCTTAAATCTACAAGCACAACCACCAACTTCACCTCAAATCCACCTCCACCTCCACCTCCACCTCCACCTCCACTTTAAATCCATCACAACCGCTAGTCAATACCATCACCACCTCAAATCGATGGTCACTGACTTGGTAGGTGGGTTGGCAAAATCAGTGGATGCTGAAATTGGATACTTCTATTTCTTGTTCTCTACTTGATTCCCATCAAAACTGTTAAGGGTTCATATTCAGCCCCCATCTGAGCCCCTTTTTTGATATAAATATATTGTGTAACAATAATCTTTTGAATAAAGTATAATTAAAAAGTAGAAAAAAGTTGTAGAATTACGTGTAAAATTATTTTATTAAGAATATGTGATTGAAAATTAGGTTGGAAAAGAAAAGAAAAAGGAGCATCTGAAAAATGGGGCCCAAGTATGGGCTCAATTTCAAATATAAATTTTCCGAGAATACTTTCTTCCCGCTACTATTCCTGGATGTTTCTCCTTCATTTCTACCTCTTTCGGCTCCGAGCAAACCTAGCAGTTCGTTTCATCCATTATGCTCCTCATTTCTCCACAATTTCAACTGTAAAACCTAACTAACTCTCTTTTCTTCCTCAAATTTGCATGCAAGTTTGAAAATTTGTTCAAGCGATTAATGTAATGAATATATAACGATAGGCCAAAGCCATTTGTACAGTCCAGTACAGACACGTAAGGTTGGCCCCATGCGGAGCCCATGGATGAAAAAATAAATGCCGACCTTCCTCCCTTGTGTGTATTCAGTAAGACCTTTGTGAAGTCCCTTTCTGTAGGCATAGTGGGGTTCATAATGATATATAGGAGTCCCCGGGGACATAATTTAGTGGTGCAAAGGACAGGAATGAGGTAGTCTCAATGATTCGATTCTTGATATATGAAATTGAACTTTTTGTGGGCAGTGCAGGTCCAATGATTTGAGGGGCCTGAGGCGAACTTCATAAAGTAGGCCCCCTCAAAAAAAAAAAAATTTGTATTACGCATTCAAAATTCTGTGAATTTGTTAACTTAATAATTAATTGTAAAATAAATTTTTTTTCTTATTTTTTAACCATACATTCTCCATGAAATCTACTATTCCAAAATGCATTATACACCAAAATTACGGCTCAAACAAGCTCATTCTAAAAATTATTTTTATAATCAAATAACAATGCAAAAAATGTTACAAACTATCAAGTAAATACTATGAATTATGCAGATTTTGGATCCTGCCCCATGAAAAATCATTGTATTAGTCTCCATTTTATTTCTCGTCTTGCAAGTTAACCACTAAACTTCAAAAATGAGCAAATGGATATCGTCACCATTTCATTGTTATTACAATTTACACTTTTTAAGTTCTTATGGACATAATATTGTCCATTAAAACCCAGTACATTAATGCAGGATAGCTAAATATTGCACTATTCACATTGTATGGAGGCAAAAACTAAAAGAAAAACGAAAGAATCATCAAACAAATAGGTAAAGAAACTTCCAATTTACAACTGAAACAAGAAATTCGATGGGATTGACTGATAATGAAAGGGTAAAAAACTAATTTTGTGCTGCCTGCTAATTCCATTGAACACCTATTAAGTTTATATACAAGATATATAACAGTAATCATTAAATATTAAATAAACTGAAAATAATATTAAATAATTTCATTATTTAAATCATTAAATAAACTGAAAATAATAGTTGAAAATTAAAAGAACTAGTGAAAAAATAATGCAACAGAATATTAAAATAATGAAATTAAAAAAAAAAAGATGAAACAAGCATGTAAAACTGAAAATTTAAGAAGAAGTTGAATCTGAAGAACTGCAAGAAGGAAATAAACTGAAAATAATAGTTGAAAATTAAAAGAACTAGTGAAAAAATAATGCAACAAAATATTAAAATAATGAAATCTTAAAAAAAAAAAAAAAAAAGAGAGATGAAACAAGCATGTAAAATTGAAAATTTAAGAAGTTGTAATATGAAGAACTGCAAGAAGATAGAAAAAAAAAAAAAAGAAAAAAAAAAAGCTGAACCCATATAAATATATTGAAGCAAGAAGCATGAAATAAAGAGAAAGTAAACAAAGTAGATGATGCAAATTTAATGCGGGTACTCATACATTTTTTATTTTTTATTTCCATTGAAGAACTGTCTGGACTCTTTCCTTTGTTTATTGGTTTTTCGCCTCTCGCAACCGGTTCAAAATCACAGGAAGACAATCCTTAGAAATTAGGTATTTAATAAAAAACAAAAATAGGCCCCCTAAATGTTTGGGCATGAGGCAAAGGCCTCACCTGCCTCGATCCAAAATCGGTCATGTTTGTGGGCACCAGTATACAGACAAGCTCTTATTCTCTGGTCTGTTGAGGCACATTTCACGATTTACCTCCCTCACGATACTCCAAGGACGAGGCGGTGTAGGCCTTCAAAGTTGGGGTTCAACCTTTATAATGATATATAGGAGCTATAACAAGGTGGGATGGAGGGGATGTATCTGATTTTTGATAAAATAAAAAATAAAATATTATTGATACCATATTTTTGAAATTTAGAATTATAAAGCAGGGGTTGAGGTAATTTTTCCTGTAATGTTTATTTAGGTATAAATAGTTAGGGCCTATTCGGTAGTGATCGTGAGAATTAATTTTTTGACCATTAGAGAAAAAAGTAGATCTTACCTGTGAGTGGAGAAGTCAAAAATCACTACTGAAATAGTAAAATAATGGTCTAAAATTGATTTTTTGGAATGAAAAATTGGAGACTTGTTCAAACTGTTGATTTTAATTGTAATCATGCTAAGAATCAAGAATCACAAAATCATAAATTGATAAATCGAATTCATACCTGCGGAAGCCATTGTTGATATGAATAATAGTTATAATAGCGGCCAAGATCTTCCCCTCCTTGCTCCTCACAAAATATCAGCTATTAATGGGGCAAGCCAATAAAAACTTATGGAGAGGAGAGGGGACCTACCCTTTATATAGGAAATAATTTGAGCCGTCCCATTACGACTAGAATTCCAATTAGGGTTTATTTTCGGCCCACATATTTTAAATTACCACATCAAATTAATTACAAACCGTAAGGTGTAAAATGCCCAATTAATCACTTAATAAATTTGGCCCAAACACAAATATCATTATGAGCCATACATTTAACCCGTAAAATCTGCAATCAAATGTGAAGCCCACATATGAAATTATTAATTATTCCAA